GATAATGATACCGATGATGCTATACTACTTATGGTGAAGATACTTCTACTAATCATAATAATAGCAAGAATAATAATAATAATAATAATAATAACAAATAATAATAACAAAAGCAACAACAACATATACATTTATATATATATATATATAAGCAGAAATATAAAGAGAAAGAAACAAGAAAATACGGCCGAGACCCCGCGGGCTACTTTCCCATTCCCATAAACCATACGGGGTTAGAAGCCAAAAGCCATAAATCCCACAATGTCTTGGCCTGGCGTCTGCCCCTGAGAAATGGGGTTGGATCCTTTCGTTTCGTGGCAGACTCGGTACCTTCTGGGAGCGCTGGGTGTGGAATCTATTATATCGATGCTATCATAACTTCTATCTTGGGAAGCTTTCCTGTTTTTTCTCGAGTGGTTTTGCGATCGTTATTAGTGTTAGTAGTAGGTTGTGGTTATCGTCATCGTTATTTGTAGTATTGTTGCAGGTAGTAGCTATTATCATTTTTCAAAGTATTAGTAGGTAGTGGTTATTGTCAGCAATAGTGGCACTAGTAGTATTAAAATACAATGCAGTAAATATATTTTGCAATGAAAAAATAGATAATAACTATAATAATAAGTTAATCGCATACATAAGCAAAGTAATACTTACAATATGATCTTATTGCCGAGTTAAATGTTATATCGTTATATCACGTGCCATTCTCATGGAAATGGAACAGTGACGGGTCAGTTACTTTTGTGAAGTTCTCGTCCATATCATTTTTTTTTACTAAGGACGTGGTTCAGTTAATCAATGTAGAACAGAGTCGAATACAGTATGCATTTTCTAGGTTAACTGAATAGTTGAGTACATGTGGCTTTAACGAGACTGCAAGCTAGTGGATAGTCATTTTTTTAAGTTATATAGTAGTAGTGGTGCAACTAGAACGGATGTGATTCTAGCTATGATAATGGATGTAGTAGTAGTAGCAGTGGTTCGAGTTGTGATAGTTGTGATTGTACTTTACATTGCTATTCCTGCTCAGAGTGACAACTATGTAATACGTTCTTGACTGTTCATTCGCCCACAACCAATTTCATTTTTTTCTTTTTTTTTGTCTATAGGTTAATGCGAAGATTTCAAAGGAACGTATTCTGATAACGGTTACATCCTCTAATCTTAAAATCTAACCTAGCTGTATCTGACAAAGTAGAGTCGTGTGTGATCTTTGGACCACATATATTTTTTACGCCTGGATAGCATCTAAAAATATTCATATATTTATATAATATATATATATATATATATATATATATATATATATATATATATATATGTATGTATATAATATAATATAATATATATACATATGTATATAACACACACACACACACACACACACACACACACACACACACACACACACACACACATATTCCTTTCTTACACACTCTCACTGCCCATACGTACCGAATTTTGCAGTACAAAACAGTTAATCCCTTTCCGACTTAACGGACACATCACCGGCGTCCGCAGTCAAAACCTCAGGGCACAATGGAAGTCTTCTTTTCGTTTTTAAATTCTTCAGTTATTCTTAAATTCATGTCAGCCTTTTCATGTCTTCGTCAGTGACAGCATGAAGGTGACTTGACCTGACCTACCCTGACCGTTTCATCTTGCATTTTCTTTTATCGAGCTTCATTGTACAAGTATGTACACACGCACAGACGTATGGACACGGACATACACGCACATGTACAGATATATAGATACTGATATGAAAACACACGCACACGCACATGAACATTGGGACAATTGACCAGTACCCTTTCTTCCATCTACGTAAATCAATCTCTAAGTCAAGTTTTATTTGCTCTCTGCAGTCTTCTCAGCCTTTTAAATCCCAATGCATGAATGTCTTTTATACAGACAAATAACACTTTGTCTTTCGTTTGCATGTTCCACAGAAGTGCAAATTCTCACCAAGCTCAGGAATTATTTGGACTAATTTTGAATAATTGGTCGTATTTCCTTCCCTTCTCACAGGCCACGAACGTTTCTGTCACCTCCAGAAAGGTGCCTGAGCATTATCTTGGTCAATTCGAAGTTTAGTGAAAGTTTACGTGACAGATATCGTGAAGACAAGGTGCGAAAAATTCACTGCTGCTCCGCCATCTTTGTTTACCTCTGGTGTTACATCGTGGCCGAGAAATGTTTGTCATTATCATTCGGACAATTTTATTATTATTATTATTATTATTATTATTATTATTATTATTATTATTATTATTATTATTATTGTTATTATCCATTGCTGTTCCTATCAACATCAATCTCGATTTCAATCTTATTAGCATTATCATTGGTGTTTTCGTATGTGTTTGACAAAGTTTTATTACTGTTATTGTTGTTTCACTGATTTTACTCAAGCACCACTACCATCACTACCTGTACCATGATAATATATCATTGTAGTACATGGTTTGTTGTTCTACCGACAATCGAAGAATATCAG